AAAATGACTTACAAATTTTTGATAAAAATGAAGATGTCTCAACAAACAATTTTTATTTTTTGTACCAAGCATTTTTTATTTTATTTTTTAATTATCATTATTGTAATTTTTATAGTTTATAATTTTATGATTTTATTGTTGTAACTTTTATTTTTGTAAACTATAATTGTTATGACTTTTTTTATTGTAATTTTTTGTTATTGTCTTTTACTTAAAATAAGTAATTTTTTACTATTATAATTTTTATTATTTTCGTTTTATAAACCATAGATTGTTCGATGATTAGAGGTGAAAGATTTATGTCATACGCAGGAAAGAGAAGAAAGAGAAAACTAACATTAAGAATAGTGGCAGACCCAAATTTTTTTTTTTTTTTTGAGTGACTACATCTTTAAGAATGGATTAAAGTCTCGAAAAGTCGTGGGTTTGGATGGAGGGGAAAAGTCGACGCGATTTGCCCTTTTGAGCGCACGAGACTACATCTTACGTCCAACGTGCTTTTAGCTAAATTCCACCATTACGAGAAACTATTTTGTTTTTCGGTTGATTTCATAAATTTTACAATTTTTAATATTTGATATTAATTATCCTCCGTTTTTTCTAGGTTTTCAGTTTTGTTTTTTCTATGCATCTGGAATTCCTAATATTAAATAGGATGCATCTTATTTTACTTGCTTATGCATCCAGAATTAATATGAAAAAAAATAAGAGAAATATAAAAACAATTTAATGTGTACTCGGTGTTATTTAAGGCTGGAATCGAACCCCAAACCTTCTCTTCCCACCAACTGTTACAAATGTAGTTTTAATATATTTCAGGGCATCCTCAAAATCAAGCAGGTGCATTTTTAAGACGTCTATATTTTTTTTCTTTATACTAATCGAGTGGTCATGAGACCTGCTCGGTTCCTAGAGGTCTGCTCCTAGTTAAGAACCATTTACATTTTAGTGGGAATGAAGACCGTTAAAGCTCAAATTCAGATAAGAACCATTTACATTTTAACCGGTTTTGAACAATTTTAATTGATATGTAACTATCAAATATGTGTTTTTTTTAAAATATCCCCGACCGGTTCCTTAACCGGTTAAAGGATAGAAACGGTTCTTTTTTTTTTTTAATTAAAACTAGTTTTGTGCATCGCGCGTTGCGCGATGACCATAATTTATTTAGCAAAAAATAATCAAACTAATATTAAATATTACAATGTCAGCTCATGTATATATCATTTTCTTTTATTAAAGTTATAGATTATAAATATAATGATTAATTTATTGACCTTCATATTTTTTTTGTTCATATTGTCATCCTGACAATTTTTATTACAATCAATCATTCTAATACATAACTAAAACTTTAAACCATCATTAAATAAATTTATTCGAAATATTAAACAAAACAATTTTTTTTGATTTACCGAATATATAAAAAAATTAAAATTTTCTTTTTTTTCATACAAAGTCTTTAATATCGCCGCCTGCATAGTAAAATCAATTTATCGCCA